GCATCGCCGACGCGGATGTCCGATATTAAGTCAATGTCGGGGCCGGGCTCCAATCTCGATGTCGAGGTCGACGGTGAAGACGGCCCCGGCGGCAGCGGCAGGGAGGCGGGGTGCAGCGGCGGTTGGGGCGGAGACGCCAAGACGGAAGCCAACCGCAGCGGCGGCCGGGACGGTCGCGGCGGCAGCTCCGCCGAGGGTGGCGAGTCTGGTGGTTCTGTTCCGTTGGCGCCCTCCCTGCTTCACATGTGGCTGGCGGACTGCAATGTGGGGGGCGCCCGGCCGGAGGAGCTGGCGGCCGCCATGCCGGCTCTGCAGACTCTGGTGGTGCGCCACGTCAGCAAGCAGGACGAGCTACCGGCACAACTGCTGATGGCGCTGCATAGGCTCAAGGTGGGTGCTGCCGCAGGTGTTAGGGGGTTTGGGGGTTGCGGAGGGGTTTGGGGGTGGGGGTGGGGGTGGGGGTGATGCGTGCATGGCCCGCCCGTCAGCCGAGAACCCGCAATAAGCAGCCGAGTCGTGGATTCCGTCGCCAGGGGGCAGAATGAGCCGCATGTTGGCGGGGCACCGGTATTGCCTGGGTGCATGGAAAGGCCCGTAGACTCCCAGGGCTGCGGGAGTCGTAACTACAACCCGCGCCCTGCTTTGCGGCTTTTGGCTGCCAATGCGCTTCATTAAACCCGTACACAATCCCCCCGTTTTGTCCCATTTTATCTCCAAACCCACCGTCCTACTTGATTACCATTTTGGCATTTCCATTGGATTCGTTTCTCTCCGTATGTCACCCAGTCAGCCAGCTTGCCTATTCGGGCCCTCCCCCCCAATCCCCCCCCCATCCCTCCCCTCTCGCCCCCAGGATCTGACCACTCTGGGTCTGGGCGGCTTCCACCACCGGCTGATGCCCAGGCTGTGGGGCCTCACTCAGCTGAGGCACCTGATGCTGGACCCACGTCGGGTGGAGGACGTGGAGCTGATGGAGCAGGACGTGAGGACCGGGATGAGGGGGGGGTGAGGGGAAGGAGGGGTGAAGAGGGCAAGGGCGGGAAGGGCGGGAAACGAGGAATAAAAAGAAGATACCGCAGCGGAGACGGAGACGGCGTTAGCGGACGGACTCGGAACCCAGCATTACTTACCGAACATAACTGTAACCTTACCAAGCCGAGAAGCGTAGCGACCGCGTCGTTACGCGGGGGGGGGGGGAGGGGAGTGGGATGGTGGGGACAGAAGGGGGCGGAGGACGGGACGGGGCGGGGCGGGGCGGGGCGGGGCGGGGCGGGGCGGGGCGGGGATGGAGGGCAGCGGCTTGGGGAAGCTAACAAATGGCGGCATTGAGGGGAGGGCGAAAAGAACCGCGGGTTGCGCGGCACACATTTGGCAGGCAGGGGTGAAGGTCGGGGTGAGTGTCGCGAGGGCATATTGCCTGGCCGGGTGCAGGGGGGAAAGGGCGAGGGAGCGCGGGGAATGGAAGCACCTTACGTAAGAACTGGGCGCGGCGCGAGAGCACTGCGACAGACTTCACTGCACTTCACAATCTCGTCGGCCGGCAGCGCTATGATGGGTCATAGGCGCCCCTTGCACCCCTCGCACCCCTCGAACTCACCCACCTTCATCGGACTCTCTTCTATTGCGCTTCCCCGCTACAAGCCTGTCAGCCTGTCAGCTTGCATACTCCCCCCTCTTCCTTCTCCACCCCCCTTCTCCCTCGCTCACCTCTTCCCCCCTCCCCCCTCCCCCTCTCCTCCCCGCCCTCAGATGTTGTTGGATGTGATGGCCGCCGAGTCGGACCGCTCTCTGGCGCTTCACGAGGCGGCCATGGGGCTGGTGGCTGAGGGCGGCATGACCCGACTGCGCAGTGTGTGGCTGCCCGACTGGGCCGCACCGCCCCACCAGCTGGTGCAGTGGCAGATGCAGCTCGCGCAGGTGGGAGAGCGGGCGGCTGGGCGGCTGGGGTGGCGGCTGGGGGGGGGAGAGGGGTGAATGGACTGTTGTGGATGTCGCAGTGGCGCCAGACCCTTAGGGACAGGCACACCCAGGCCAGACCCGTCAGCACAAGTCGCCCGAACCAGTGGGCCGGGGAGGGAGGGAGGGAGGGCGGAGGGGGGTGCACGGTTACCAATCGAGGCCGGAGTTCCGAGCCGGGTGATGTCGATCAGCGTAAGCGCATGGAGAAGGGGATCTGCAGGCGGGATGCGGGCGGCTCTCAGCTTGAGGAGGTTGGAAGGGTCTCTTAAAGTAGGAAAGCCGTTGGCGTAACCAACAGCATGAGCGCCTGAGCGAACGAATGGGGCAACGGCGAGGGGCATGTCCCGACCGTCCGCGCCAAAGCCCCGCTGCGCCCACCACTGCTCCCGACACGTGATCCCTGAAAGTGCTCATGACAGTACTGTCTCCGTACTGCTGTACTTGCCGTACTCGCAGGTTGCGCCCCTGGCCGCGCTGCGGCTGGTGGATCACCACTACTTTTGGCGGCTGCCGGCACCCGTGGGCTGCCCCGAGGTGCAGGACCGGCTGCAGTGGTGGGGCTTCGACGCCTGGAACGTGCTGTGAGCGAGCGGGCTGCGAGAGCTGCACGGTGGGGGTAAAGAGAAGCGGAAGGGCGCCGGAAGGACGACCACATGCCTTGCCTCGTATGGAGATTCCGTTCCTTCCACCCGTTCAGTACATGTTGATCTGATCTGGATCTGAATATGCAGTGGAGCCGGGTCTGGATTCGGGTTGTGATTCGGTCTCCGAGCTGCATCTCGTGGTGGCGGTACAGGCGCTGCCGGTGGGATGGAGGGGCTGTCAGGAGGGCGGGAGGGGGGGAGGGGTAGGGGGGGGGGAGGGGGTGGCAGCCAGTCAGCGCGGGGGAAGCCTCACAGAGCTGTACCCACCAGGGGAGGGTGCAGCGCGTAACATATGGCGGCAATCGGGATACAGCGCAACACAGGGGGGACTCCACACGTGTGAAGGTTGGGGGAGGCCTACCGGACATGATGCGTGCAGCCGCGGCGCCTCATGTTGGGACAGTGCTTCCGCGGGCGGTGAGTGTTTATACCCGCTGTCTGGGCTGGGGGCGCGCGGGCGGGAGAGGTTGCATCTTGCAGGTACGTGGATGCGCCGAGGAAGCGATGACCTGGACATGAGACGTAGCCGTAATGGTTTCAGTGGGCTCCAGCTAGAGCAGGAAGGGAGGTCAGTCCGGGGCGGGAATCGGGTGGGTGAGTGGATTGGTGGATGGGTGGGTGGATGGATGGACGGGTGGGTGCTAGCTCCTCCTCCCGTGTGGCAGCCGCAGTGCGAGGCCTGACGCGTGTGCGGACTGGGCTTCACGCGGCGAAACATGGGCCGGGCAGGGAGCAGGGAGGTGCCATCAGGGCAGGACAGGCGGTGGCAGGCGGGGCCTTTCGACGCTCGAGGCACGTGCCTTGCGGGTGGTCCTGGTTGGTGTTCAATGAATGAAACGTTTATTAGGCTTGTACGGTAGCCTTGCAAGTTCAGACCCGCAACCATGAGCAGCACTGGTCATCGCAAGACTGACGGCGACCCACGGGTCATGCATGTCAAGCGACAGCGGCGTCCAAGCGTGAGGCAATCGGGTATAACATCGACGTGATACAGCGGGCGCAGCTTGTATGGTCACTGCGGCAACAAACGTGGCGTACGTTCCACTGGACGACATTACCTCCGTGCGGTGCCACCGCTGCGGAGTGCGGACTGTGCTCCGGCCGGTCTCACACACACATGGGTACACGGTGTGGCGTTCACGCGCGTTCTGTACTGTGAAGCTTTGGCTGGGAAGCTACACTTAGCCGGGTGGGCAGGAGGGAAGCGGCACTGCATCAATGGACATCATGACACGCAGTTCGCTCTTCTTGCACATCTCGATGGAAAAAGGGGATTATACAACACGGCAGTAAGAGTGGAGCCCTGAAGTATTCGCCGCAAAGATGCTCGCACGTGCCAACTGCCTGGCGTATCGCCCCTTTCGCGACATATGCGATTGCGGTGTCGTACAGTTCTGGGATCTTTTATGGGATGGGCGCTTCGCAGCGACCGCGGCTTTCGGTCCGTTCAGCCTACCAGTTGGCTTCTCGTTGAGGATTTGCTTCGGCGCTTCTTCTTGTCTCCGGTTGGTCAGCGGCTCCGGCTCGATGGTGGACGACCCCCTGCTCGATGGGCTTCTGGTGCTCCGCTCGTCGCCTTTGGAGCCTCGTCGTCTGGATGCAATTCTGCAAGCTGTCGGCGCCAAGCTATCGCCAAGCTATATATCGCGGCCGCCTTTCGGGCAGGGGCGGCCGTTGCAGGAGCGCTTGCAATGACGAACGCGCGGTAGGAGGGTCCGCCCGTGCAGCCTTCGCTGTTGCAGCTCGTGCTGCCGCGCCCCACTAGGGGGCGCTCGTTATGATACAGGATGCGGTATTACAAGAGCCCGACTTTTGGCCTGCTTGCATGGTGTATTCCCGAGTGCTGATTCGGCTGCACCCTTGCGTTTGTCCAGGAGCTTGGTAGGCGCTTCCTGTCCAGCAGGTGCTCAGCTGGGAGCTACTTGCGTGTTGTATTCCAGGAGCTTGGCCGGCGCTTCCTGTTTCCGGTGCTGTCTCTTGGTGGCGGACATCTCATTCTTACCACTCTCGGGCTTTTGGGGATGTGTGACATGTTTCTTTTATGCTTCGTGCGTCGTGCGGGCTTGGTGCTGGTGGCTTTGCTTTCGACGCCCCTTCGCGGGTGCCCCTGGGGTAGGATGAGTAGTCTGTCTAGCATGTACGGCTAGCAACCGGTGTGAAAGCAGGTTTTCCTTGTAAACATCGAGTCCTAGACGTTCTGCTAATGCAGGGGGGCACGGACACGACTAATGAGCCGCGCGGCATGTGCAGTCTGTTCCACACCAGGGCATGATCAGTAATTTACCCTTTGAAGGAAGGCGCGATTGAAGGCATCTCCCCCCGGGTCCTTTGAAACAACCGGCCCATACCAGCTCGGGTATCGGGAGACGCATCTCCCCCCGGGTCCCATCGTCAAAACGAAGCTGACAGGACTCGAACCTGCAACCCTCAGATCCGAAGTCTGATGCGCTATCCATTGCGCCACAGCTCCAGGTTGGCCGAGGGGCTCCTATGAAACAACCGGCCCATACCAGCTCGAGTATCGGGAGACGCATCTCCCCCCGGGTCCCATCGTCAAAACGAAGCTGACAGGACTCGAACCTGCAACCCTCAGATCCGAAGTCTGATGCGCTATCCATTGCGCCACAGCTCCAGGTTGGCCGAGGGGCTCCTATGAAACAACCGGCCCATACCAGCTCGAGTATCGGGAGACGCATCTCCCCCCGGGTCCCATCGTCAAAACGAAGCTGACAGGACTCGAACCTGCAACCCTCAGATCCGAAGTCTGTTGCGCTATCCATTGCGCCACAGCTCCAGGTTAGCCGGGAGGCTCCTTTGAAACAACCGGCCCATACTAGCTCGGGTATCGGGAGACGCATCTCCCCCCGGGTCCCACCGTCAAAACGAAGCTGACAGGACTCGAACCTGCAACCCTCAGATCCGAAGTCTGATGCGCTATCCATTGCGCCACAGCTCCAGGTTGGCCGAGGGGCTCCTACGAAACAACCGGCCCATACCAGCTCGAGTATCGGGAGACGCATCTCCCCCCGGGTCCCATCGTCAAAACGAAGCTGACAGGACTCGAACCTGCAACCCTCAGATCCGAAGTCTGATGCGCTATCCATTGCGCCACAGCTCCAGGTTGGCCGGGAGGCTCCTATGAAACATCTGGCCCATACCAGCTAGGGTTGCGCCATTGCTCCTTAATAGAGGAACGCCAAGCATGTATGTCTAGTCATGACAGTACATACTGAACGTAAGGCCAGCGACTTGGGCACGAGCAACGGCATCTCACGTAAGGCCAGCGACAGCAGGTGACTCGGGGAGAAGGCCAGTTATACATTAAAGCGTCATTTAAGTCATAAATCTAGCCCAGTCGGAACACCAGTTGTGCGGGGCGGCCAGTAATGCTGTGCAGGGGTTGGTTGCACCAGCCATAAAAAGGACACCCAATCATGCATGGATCCATATTTTATTTACCCTGTCATAACGCGCTCTTCCCCCTGATCATTGCAGAGTTCATGGGCCACCTGAAATACTGCTCTACATGCATTCCTATGGTATGCCGGTGAACACCCTCCATGGGCTGGGCGTAAGCCTGGCAGGCAGTCCCCAACCTGCTTGTCGTTGATGATAGATGCCTCGCTGATGGCAATATGGCTCCAGAGAGCTCAGTGCTTACGTTACTTGGGCTACAACAAACCTTTTGCAAGACGACGGGAATGGCTGCGAACGCCGCCAATTGCCAACTGCATATTTCAGGGGGTGGGGGGGGGGGGCACGGCAAGCGCGCGGAAGCGGCTCATAAGCTTGGATATATACATGGAAGGTGGGGCGGGCATTTGGGAGCTGGACGGCAACGAGACGGCACGGTACCTCGGGCTACACAACAGCCCTGGTACGCAGTTCTAAGCCTGCACCAAGCAGCTGCTCGCGGCAGCGGGTCTCTTTTGGACGCAGTGCCCTGTGTCGTGACGAGGTAGTTACCACCCCTAAGCAATGCATGCCCCTGTATTTTAACTCGCTCGATCGTTGAATAATAATAATAATAATAATAATAATAATAATAATAATAATAATAATAATAATAATAATAATAATAATAATAATAATAATAATAATAATAATTATTATTATTATTATTATTATTATTATTATTATTATTATTAATACTATTAATATTACGCCGGGCAAAACCCTCGGCGGGCTCGATGAGGCTCGACTAGGAACCTATACGCCGCCACCACCAGGGAAGCCCCACAAAACAGCCTTACCCTGCCCCTTGACGATTGAACGTGTAGCATGTGGGTCCCTCGAGGGAGCGTCGCCGTAGGACTATGTTATTCAGGTACTTGATTGTGAGGTCATGTAGGCACACGCAGCATTGTGTGGCAGCCTCTGGTGGCACACCGAGCTCGGTGATAAGGGGCTTTAGGTCATTGCGAATCGTCCCACCGAATCCAAGTGTGGTGGCTTCCTTCGGAGTATACCGCACTTTCCAGCCGTTGGCCTTGAGCCTGCGGGCTAGCTTCGCGTGCTGTTTTGCTTTTTGCTCATTCTTTTCGTCATGCCGGAGGTCCCCTGTGTACCCAATCTCAATCACAAAAACGGTGTGTTTTGAGCGGTCCGGTGGTCCGTTATACGGTGTGGTTTGCTCTAAATTCGATAGTGGTAGGGTCGGGATAAGGAGGAGGTCTCGCTGGAGGTCTCGCATTTTTTTCTCTTTTTTCCGGGATATTGGGTAAAAGCCATTTCGGCAGTCGAGTACCAATGAGCATTCCGGGCTGGCGTCTTCTGCACAGGCGTCAATGATAGTGTAGCACCCACCATACCTGCCTTTGTGTATGGTATCTGTGATAAGCAGGGCAGCGGCGTTGTGCCGTTTTATGTACATGGCTATATGACCGGTTTCCTTGCATCCTCCCAAAATATTTCCGCCTGAATCTGGTATGCCGCATAGGGGGCAGGGGGCTTTGTCCTCATTTGCGGCGTTGGTGAGCACTTCTGGGTTTTTCGTTGGTATGACGTATCGTTTGGCAAGTCCGGCGTGCCATAATTGGCCCCACCTGTAGTCGAATGCTCGCTTAAAAAGGCTATGTCCGCCTCCGCGGGTGATCGTTAAGTTGCTAGTTCGTGCGCAGAGTTTAGGGCCGGCTTTTTCGCATAGATTCTGTTGTAAGCTTTAGAAATGTCCGACTGCATGGGGGCAGTCAGAACTGCCGATTAGAGAAATGCCGGACTTTCAGCCGTAAGGGTGGAAGGCAGCTTCCCTGACTGTAGCCACGAACCGAATAAACACGACCGGAAGTCGCAACTATTCCTCTCTCACAGCAGTGCAATATATGTGAATTGCACTGCCGTATTCCGTACGGCACCTCGCAGAGAGGTGCCTCTTCTGGCTGGCTGCGCCAGCCCTAAGCATCCGCCGCAGCATAGCTGCGACGATTGCTTAGGTATCTACGCACCGCTGCCCAGTCTGCGGTGCGAGGTGGCCCTAGAGGGCCATCATGTCATGTTGAACAACTTTAATCCTGTTGAACAACTTTTAAAAAGAGAGGTGTCTTATTACGCGTAACCTCGTTTTCAGAAGTTAGAATACAGTGAAGGATATTCCTCATACTTCAAGAATGGAACAGCGAATTACAGATCTGGAGGCGACCTTGGTCACCGCACGAGCCGACCAAACTGCTGCTGAGACTGCCAAGCCCGCCGCAGAAGACCGTGCAGAGAATGCCGAAGAGATGGCCAAGCAGCTTGAACTCGTGGTCGACCAAGCCGGCCCATCCACGCGCCATTACCCCAACTCCAGCCATCACCAGCCTGAACGATCGCCTACTGCGCCTTGGAGCTTTATAAGGGCTCGCCTGGAGGCCAGCATCACCTACATCAAGGACAACATACAACCGGAGCTGCGTCAGTCATCGTCGGCGCTGGTCTACGTGGGCATGGCGCTGGGCATGCTTAGCAGGTGAACATGGCCATGTGCCATGGCATTAACACGGGCTTCCGCAGGTACTCCGCCGCCGCAAAAACCCATCCCCGAGGCGTCGCAGTTCGCGGCGGCCTACCAGAACTACGCGCTGTCAAAGGTCGGCCGCACCCAAGAAGTTTTCCCTCCTGGAGAACAAGGTGGCGGCGGACGACGCGGCGATGGTTATGCAACAGCGGCCCTCGAGCCAGTAGCACCGGCCCCCGAGGAGTTCAGGCCCCGGCCCGTCGTCATCCCAGTTTTTTGGGACGGTCGTCGTCGGGTCAACAATGAGCTCCGTTTCGACTCGTTCCAGTACGAGACGTTGGACCAGCTCCACGAGGTGCTCCAGCCCGGCGAATTTATGTCCATAGCCGACCTGAAGTCGGGTTACCACCACATCGATATGCACAGCAGTGCGCACACGTTCCTGGGCTTCGCCTGGCGCGGGCCCTATTACGTCTTCAATCAGCTACCGTTTAGCTTTGCACCCGCGTGCCACTGCTTCACGATAGTGATGCGTCAGCTGCTGGGCCACTGGCGGCAAGCCGGCCACCGCTGTCGGTGCTGACACGGTCGATGGCAGCATCCACGCTCACGTGAACGCCACGCAGCTGGCTACACTCCACGGATAGATTCTTGCAGATATGGCCAATGCCAGCTTCGTCGTCAACATGGGGTCAACAAGTGCCAGCTACAGCCCTCCCGGCGTGTGTCGTACCTTGGCGCCACCGCAGACACCGCCACTGGCACACTAACAGTGCCCCCACAGCACTCCGTGATCGTATCCTGACCTCAGCGCTACACGACAGCCACTGCTGCAGCATCCGGACCGTCGCAAGTCTCGTGGGCATCATCATGTCGATGCGGTACCCCTTTTGGATTCTTAGCTCTCCTGATGAACCGCCGCCTCGTTCATTGGCACAACGAGCAGCTAACCGCGGGCCCCGACCTGACGCATCACTGCCCCCTCAGCGACGCAACCATCGGAGAGCTGAAGTTCTGGCAGGAATCTGCCTCACGCTTCAACGGGCGCCGATCCCTCCGGTCCCCGTCTGTTGTTCACACCATTATTCACACGGACGCGGCCGGTAGCCCGCACTACGAGTACAGTATGGCGTTGGGGGGATTCTCCGTGACAAACGGCCGCGCCGCGGCGGGCGTCGTCGTCCGGGCGTCGTCCACGGCACTGGAGCTAGAGTCTGTCGAGCTCGGGTTGCGCAACCTCAACCGTGACGGTCAGCTCAGTGACCAGCACGCCCTGATCCGGACGGACAACCCTTGGGTGTTCTTATACCGTACCGACGCAATCCTTTCGCGACGCGGTTATTTTTCGAGGTCGGAAATATCTATAAAATTGGATGCGAAATACGAAAAACGCAAACTTTTTGCGAGGCGCCGGTAGGAGCTTATTATCTATAACTTTTTATGAAAATTTGCCAGCTCGCGAGCCATATATACAAGTTTTACTCGCCTCTTATCTTCAACGCAACGGCGTCGCATTCTATTAATGAAATTGGACA